AATCCACAGTGAATAAATAGTTAGACACAGTCCACTAAGGCCCATAACAAATTGGTACCTCATTCTTTGGGACACACTGCACGGTCTATTAATCTTTTCCACACTTTGTCATGTTAAAGCTGCAAAAGTTTTACACTTATGAAGTGACACGGGTGAAAGAATGTGTTCATGTCAAATGAATCCAAAATTAAGCTATTTTGGCCATGATGCAAACCACTGTGGGGGTGGAAGGGGAACTACCACTGGAGATATAATTGAACACAGTGTGGGCAGCATTGTGCTGTGGGCATGCTTTTATTTAGCAGAGATAAGGGAACTGGACAGAGTTGATGGAATTTACGATATCTCGGCAATCTGGCAGGAAGCCACGCTAGTCGCTTCAGCGCAAAGCGATTCGAGACAAACACTGATGACTGTGGCTGCAGCACAGCAAAATGAGGAAACAGTTCAAATGGTATGAATAATACTGCAAGACACTGTACATGTGCAAAAGGACAGCCCCTATATTTTTGTGTCTCTGATCAAAATGTGGACCAAGGGAAGAGGAGGCAATGACGCATCCCTTCTTCTTCGTCGTCGTCTTCTTCTTTTTCTTCAGAGTCCGCAGCAGAACCTCTCTGGTTCTGCAACTTGTTAAAACAACCAGGTGTGACTGAAGCACACAGAGGCTTTTACTCGCAGCACGGCACGGCCACAAAGGCGGTACATATAAAAAAACATCGCATGCACGTCTTTAGATGTATATAAATGAGCATGCAGCTTGGATGTAACGCTGCAATAGTAATGACTCCTCTGCACCTTCTGCAGAAACAACAGAGTCTACAAAGCCTTTGCCCTGAATGACTAAACTCCAGCTTCTCAGATGTTGGTCTGACAGACTTCTCTCTCTCCCCGTCTCTCTTTCTGCGCTTTTTTTTTTTATATTCTTCTTCTCTCTGCATGGGCAGCAGAAATCAGCACATCAAATAAATACGGAGAGGGGAAATATGTTTGCTTTGGAGCAGGTCATGGACAATGGGAACACGTGAAGTGTGGGCGTGAAAAGAAAGCAATTCCAATGCAAATAAGTGTGGAGGCCTCTGAAATCAAAACTGATCCAGGGATGTAATAACATCTTTAAATTTTATTCAAGGGAGGGAAAATAAATATTGCGATGCTTCGAAAACGATCAGTATTCAGGCCCCCCCACCCCCTGCATTCCTCGTTCGACATTATCCACAACCTGATAGGAGATTATTATAATGCTCCGTCGTACGCGCCTGTTATTAAAAACCTATAAATTCCTGGCGCTTTTGGAGGAGGCTGAGAGATTTAACGTGCGAATCTCTGAGTGGGATGGCGGATAAAACACAAAGCGTTGGCTGAAACAGAAACATCAAGGCCTGTGGCTGCAGCCTTAACCTGAGGTCCAAACAATCTACTTAAAGCGCACGTTATCCGAACCGACCACAAACCCCTGGCTGCTCCCCGCTCTCCAAACCAGGGTTTGGCCAGAGACACGGTGTCAAATAATGACGGAGAGGGGGCGGGGGGTGATGGGAATTCAAGGACTCTTGCAGCAGCCTAATCTCGGTTAACGTACACACTGTGGCCAAAGAGAACAGCAAAACTTCCTCGGATGGAGGGGACTGATTAAAGACGATGAAAAAACCACCGTGGGATGGGAGGGGGGGGGGGGAAAAGAACAAAACAAAAAAAAAAAAAAA